AGTAGGAGTTTGGGATTAACAGGTACACACTACTATACATAAAACAGGTAACCAACAGGGACCTACTGTATAGCACAGGAAACTATAGTCAATATCCCATAATGAACTATAATGGAAAATTTTGAAAATAATATGTATCTGAACCACTTTGCTGTACACCTCAAACTAACACAACATTCTAAATCAACTGTAGTCCAGTAAAAATCAAAATGTATGCACTGACGCCTATGCGGAATGCGGTGGCATCCAAGATGCACTCTTTTGCCTAGCATGCCGTGGTTTCTAGAGCACTGTCATCGATGTTGGCTCCTCACAACCACCCTTGATGCAGACAGGGCAGGAACGATGGTCTTCATGTTTAAAATGAGGAAACTGAGGCTCACAGGCGTTGGCCGCATCGCTAACGTCATGATGATAGGAAATGGCGAAGCTGGTAGCAGAACCCAGGTCTGTGGATTTCTAGCACAGCCCTCTTTCCACCTATAGCCCATTGCATCTTGTTGCACCAGAGTGGAGTATGTTTTTTAACATCTTAACTTATTTTATCATCCTATCTTTTTAAATATTTATTTATTTATTTATTTTTGGCTGCGTTGCGTCTTCGTTGCAGCGCGTGGGCTTCTCATCGCGGTGGCTTCTCTTGTTGCGGAGCACGGGCTCTAGGCGTGTGGGCTTCAGTCGTTGTGGCTCGCTGGCTCTAGAGCGCAGGCTCGGTAGTTGTGGCGCACGGGCTTAGCTGCTCCGCGGCATGTGGGATCTTCCCGGAGCAGGGCTCGAACCCGTGTCCCCTGCATTGGCGGCTGGATTCTTAACCACTGCGCCACCAGGGAAGTCCCTTTATCCTCCTACCTTATGTTGGAGCTTCCTTGATGGCAAGATAAGTATCATGTTAGGGAAACGTGGCACGAAATGAGTAGAATATAGGTTTTAAAAAGCATATAGACATTACAAATTAAAGCAGCATAAGTGTTAACTATCTAGCCTCCATTTTCCAATCAGTTTAAATTACTTTAATGTATGTTTTAAAACTCAAAATTAGCTGTAATCCCAATATGTAACCCTCTTAATGCTTGGTGAATCACACTGTATCATTTCATTTTGATTTCCCTCCTTTTGCAGAGGGTATATCACAGTCTTGAACATGTATCTGGAACTTGTATAAAAGGAAAAGAGGAGTTTTCTCCTTGTATGTTTTCTAGACTAGTTCTTTTACCTTAAAGCCATATATCTTTTGCGTGCAAATAATTCACTTAGCTTTTCTTCAGAGTCTCTTAATAATTCCTTATAGCGTGCTTAAAACAAAGTCAGGGCTTCCCTGGTGGCGCGGTGGTTGCGAGTCCGCCTGCCGATGCAGGGGACGCGGGTTCGTGCCCCGGTCCGG